TGAAACCGTGCAAGACCTACAATATATGCTGAACAGCCTGGCTGATTCTTCTGCTCGCATTGGACTCCGGATGAACCTAGACAAAACGAAGGTCATGTTCAATGAACATGTTCTTCCGGAGCCGATCACCCTGAATGGGTCTACTCTCGAGGTTGTTCAGGAGTATGTCTACCTAGGACAAACCCTACAGTTTGGTAGAAACAACTTCGAGAGGGAGGCTCGTAGAAGGATACAGCTTGGCTGGGCGGCATATAGGAAACTCTATCGGGTCTTTTCGTCAACTCTACCGCAAAGCCTGAAGACGAAAGTCTTCAACGAGTGCGTCCTACCAGTCATGACATACGGAGCCGAGACGTGGACACTAACAGTGCGACTGGTCCACCAATTTAAGGTAGCGCAGCGAGCTATGGAGAGGGCTATGCTCGGAGTATCTCTGAAGGATAGGATCCGTAACGAGGTGATCCGACAGAGAACTAAAGTTACCGATGTAGCCCAAAGGATTAGCAAGCTGAAATGGCAGTGGGCCGGTCACATTTGTCGAAGAACCGATGACCGCTGGGGTAGACGTGTTCTGGAGTGGAGACCGCGTCTAGGCAAACGTAGTGTAGGGCGCCCTCCAGCTAGGTGGAGTGACGATATACGTAAAGTGGCTGGTAGTGGTTGGATGCGTAGAGCTGAAGACCGAGCTCAGTGGCGTGCCATTGGAGAGGCTTATGTCCAGCAGTGGACGAAAACAGGCTGATGATGATGATGAACTAAGAATATGCGTATATCTTCTACTAGCTGTGACGGCGCATTTTTACTCGTTGCTCGGCTCCTATTGACCGTAGCGTGATGTTTTATAGCCTTTCTCGATAAATAGACTATCCAGCACAAAAATAATAGCCCATAGACATTCGTAACAACGTTAATGACTTTGCCGGTTACTGGTATGTTCTTAAAGTAGTTCCCCTCAAACATGAGTCAGTCACAGAGTCATGAAACGGGGACTTTCTTTTGCATTTTCCTTGAGAAAAAAAACTTAATTTCTTAGGTTCTACCCCGGTTAAAGTATGAGGAAACTAGAATAGTTAAAATCATAAATATTTTAATAACTATCTAACCGTGGCTTCGTTCAAATCTAAAGGAAAAGAGTAGCCTTTTTTTAAGGGGGGAAAATCATCGAATGACTGCTCCCGCCTGGGTGAGGCGGGAAGGAGTGTCAGACTCTTACTGACTAAAAACCACCCCGTTCCTTCTTCTGCACGTCGAGCCTACATCACTTACAACGCTATATTTTTAAGTTGAACCATATTTGTGCACTCTTCTATTAACAAAGCTTGGTTCGTTGTCAATAATGGAGATAGTTGTAAATAAGAATTATAAACCATATTTAAAAAGTTTGTTTTAAGTTGGTTAATTAATATACTAGAATTTTAAGTAAGTAAGAGCCATGCTTCGGCACGAATGGGCCGGCCACAGCGGAGTGATACCACGGCCTCACAGAAAACCGACGTAAAGCAACGCTTGCGTTGTGTTTCGTCGTGTAAGTGAGGTTACCGGAGGCCCGGCTCTCTCCCCCCTTCCCGAATCTCCCCAATCTCCGAATCCCCAACAATCCTCTAACTCTTAATCCCCAAAAGGCCGGTAACGCACTTGTAACGCTTCTGGTGTTCCAGGTATACATGGGCGAAGTCGATTGCTTACCATCAGGTGATCCATCAGCTCGTTTACCGGCTTATATCATAAAAAAAATAACAATACAACTACAAATCGAATTAATAACTTTCCTACGTCAATAATACTCCGAGTAGATAGGTACCTAATTAACAGTATTATTTCGAGGGCAAATTCAATTTCAAAATGTCAGCTATGCTATCACTATGATATTCATCACACGACTATTTAAAATTGTAAATTAGTGTACCTAGCAGAATATGAATAATAATGTTTCTCATCCACGCGAACTTGCTATTTATTAAGCGTAGGCGTATTATATTACAGTTTGTAAAACGATTTTACATTAGAATCATGCTTCGGTATAAACGGGGCGGATTGACTGGAGTAACATCACGGCCTCACAGAAGATCGGCGTGAAGCAACGACCAATCTCATCTCATGTAACCTACAGAGAACCATAATATTCAGTGCCTACAGGTATTTAAAAATAGGTATCCGCCATCTTGAATTTAAGAAAGCAAATGATTGGATAGAAGTTTACGTGCCTTATTAAGAACCGTAATGTGCATTTGTATTTTTTTTTCATTTATCCTTTTTTGATATGGTCATTTGAAATATTGTGTGACGTAATTATTATACGTCATTTTATAGGGAGCGGTGACGTATCGACCTCCCACTTCTAAATTTGAATTCGTTTTATCTAAGTATTGTTATCTTAAGTGACAAAAATAAATAAATACGTGTCTGACATTGTTTTATTGCATAACTGATGGACTAAATAGGTTTTTAATTTTCATACCCAGTCCCAACCCAATAGGGTGTTTTTTTTTTTTAAGGTGGGAAAATCATCGAATGACTGCTCCCGCCTGACCCAATAGGGTAGTTGCCCGAGTATGAAAATTAAAAATGTAATTAGTCCGTCAGTTAGATACCTAATGAAAAATATTAGACACGTATTTTTTTTAATTTCTCGTATAATGTTACAATACTCAGATAAAATGGAGTTAAGTTTAGGAGTGGGGAGGTCGTGACGTCACTACGCGCTACAAAATGTAGCGCGTAGTGACGTCATGCGATATTTCAGATTAATATATCGTCGAAAGTATTTAATTTTGTGAGAAAAGAAAAAATACTTGTCTAATGTTTTAAATTAATATACCAGACGGACATTAAAATAAAATTTAAGAAACATAACATAACATAACATCACGCCTTTAACCCCGAAGACGTAGGCAGAGGTGGACATTATGCCACTGTACAATGTAACACCAACTTTTCACTATTTATGTTACGAGTCCCATGTAATAGGGGGTGAGGCTATTGCCATATACCGGACACAATTCCAGACTCCGTGCTACAACTGAGATTTTTTAAAAAAACCCAGTAATACTTTGCCCGGCCCGGGAATCGAACCCGAGACCCCTGGCTCGGTAGTCGCACTTGCGACCACTCGGCCAACGAGGCATTTAGGAAACTATCTACTTATTATAAGAAAATCTGTTACTTAACAGGTGCGCACTTAATTTGTACTGACGGGGACTAACATCTACCACAATTACATAGTTAAACATAACATGAAATACAAAATATAAACATGAATGACTCAGGTCATATTGATAACAGTTCTTCCCACAGAACATTTAACCTTTATAACCACAGGCTGATAAATACGCAGCAATTATTATTATACCGTCATAATAATAATATTATTATTTAACGCGTAGCTTATATCTTATTAATAGTTAAAGATGAGGGGAAGAACATTTAGTTTATCAGTCGAATCGGTAATACAATTTATTGTCTTCATTTACGGGTGAATGTACTATCGGCCAACCGTAGTACACTTTTTAAACGAAATCTAGAGGTAATATCGCCTAAAGACGACCGCCAATTTTGTCGATTGTACTTTGGCATATTATCAATGTCCGATATTTTACTGTTTAGAAAGGGCCTACCGAGTCTCGGGTTCGTTTCTCGGGTCGGGCAAAGTATTAAAGTATTACTGGGTATAGTGTATATTATAATTATATTAATTTATGTTTATCTCTGAAATATGCTCATGTATCTTCTGTTTTTTCTATTAAATCATTGTTTGCTTCTTGCTCCTACCATTAAGTCTTCCCTGCATCACCCAAAGGTCAGACTGGGAGAAAATGCCTGCGGCATTAAGTCCTCCCCTTAACTACGCTTTGTGTATGAAGCTTAAATAAATAAATAATTTATCATAAAGCCTCTTTGTACGATATAGCAAAACTAGTATCAATCATTATACTTTGAACAGCTACAGTGATTGGACAACCAGACCTTACGCTACTTAAACACCATTTAGTAAACTAAAAAAGGGAGCCCTGCCTACCGTTAGTCCACGTACTAAATGTAAATAATTCATTTCACAAGTTTCAGACGTTAATGGAACTGAATTTCAGCACAATATCGAACAATGTAATCTGAAGTTAGTTTTGAAATTGTCCCTGAAACTTTGCTATTAAAGTTAACAAACAATTCTATCTGTCTCGCTAACTGTAGTTTAGCTTGAAGGTAGGGGTACATTGAAACACTATCTATTAATTTAATATAAGTGTTTGAGAGCTATGCTTCGACAGGAATGAGCCGGCTCGACTGGAGTGGCCACGGCCTCACAGAAAACGGACGTGAAACAACAGTTACGTTGTGTTTCGTCGTGTAAGTAAGGTTACCAGGGACCCCTTTCTTTTCCATCCCCATCTCTCCAATCCCGATACCTCAATCCCCAAATCTCTAACCCCCATAAGCCCGGCAAGATATTTACCACTCTCTGGTGTTTCGGGTGTCCATGAATGGGTGAAGTTCATCCGGTGAACTGTTTGCTTAAACTGTCAAACACCAAGCGGTCACCGGTGACCGCAACCTATTGTTCTATAATTGTGTCTACAAAACCGGTACTCGACGAGTTAAATGCTGCCTTTTTTTCTTTTGTTATTTTTTTTCAGATAAGATTATTATCTAATCTAAAAATAGCTTTACTTTTAATTTTTTTTTGTTGACGTTCAAAAGTGCCATTCTGGCCTAATTCAAATAAATTATTTTGACTTTGACTTGACTTATCTAATGACTTCTCCCGCTTTGAGTTCTCCGAATCCTCCACAATCCTCTAATTCCCTATTCCCAAAAGGCCGGTAACGCACTTGTAACGCCTTGGTGTTTCGAGTGTCCATGGGCGACGCCGATTGCTTACCATCAGGTGATACGTCTGCTCGTTTGCCGGCTTATGCTATAAAAAAAACCGATTAAGCCTTACACGGTTCCGTAATCCCATATTTTGCAAGTTAAATAAGAGCTTATACTTATGTAGTAAAACTAAATCAATATCTTACAAATAATTTAATTTTCAAACATAATAACTTAATGCAGAGCCTCTATATCGTTTTTTAGTGGATATTAGTCTTCATGTCCCAGGTCGTAGGGATTACTTTCCAATGGCTGCCGCTGATCCCACCACGGCAACTGCTGGTCCTGCCTTTATTATACCATCGCGAATGTTTTGACCCACCTTCTCCTGTAAAGAAAGATTGAAGAAATGAGACTAGAATATAGATATAGCCACGACCGCGCACGCTGCTCATGAGGAAGTGTTCCTCTGTGACTCGAAAGTAGTCGAGCTTTTCGAGTACTCACGTGAGTGACCCGACATTTTTAGGTAATTAAGTAGGTACCTAACTACCTATCTCACGCGATAGTTATTATAAAAACATAGACAATATCTAGCAAGTCGTATGAGTACAGATATGAGGCTCTGATGAATCATTTTCAATAACAATAGTGATAGTGATAGTGATAACGGGAGCATAGAAAAATATTTTTCTTAAATCTATGTGAGGTCGACATTTCCTAACCGACTACTCTGAGAAGTAATCCCGAAACAAACTCAGTTAATAATGCTTGCTAAATATAGAACACCATTTTATAGAAGAACTAGTTTTATGAGCAAAATGCAAGCAAATAAACACAAAAAGAAAATTGTAAAGATGATGCTTTTTTCTAGACTATACAAATATTTTTACACACACAAGATTATACCTCAATTTTATGTACATAAGATTTAGATTCATTGTTAGTGTGTTTTATTCAAGATAAGTAAAAACTTCCTTAATAATATTTAATTACTTGTTAAAATAGTACACTGACCAGCACATCAATCTACACTAATATGTAAATGTTTATCATTGGATTTTCTACTATATAACTAAACGATAGAGTTGAAATCGAATTACGATAATTGACAGAGATTTTATTGGGTAAAGTCCGCCACAACCTCCCAAAACCGCTGCAACTCCTGTAACCCAGGATCTACAGTAGATACAACTATAAAAACAACGGAACACTGAAGCCCGGCGCGTCCCAGGGACATGAGTAACTGTCTTGGTTCCCGCAACAAAGTGAATCAGAAGATATTGTAAGGGGAGATGAAAATAAAGCAGAGATGCATAAAATCCATGTCATAATTACCACATCTGGAATTCGGGTCAGAGATCGTCGTTTAAAAAGTTAAAGTTTATCAGAGAGCGCCTAACTATACTCGTTTCGCTATTAACACTTAATGATAGCGATGGTGATGAATTGGTTATACTTCCTTACAATGAATTTAAAAATAGTGGTAAGTGTATTGACTTCAATTATTTAAAAGTAATATTTTTTTAATAGCTTTTTGGCTCTTCCGGCCAAGTTGACGGGAATTGTATTCATAAGGCAGAGAAAGAATAGCGTTCCTCATGAAGGGTTTTTTTTATATTTGATGGGGCGACGTTTGACCACTATCTCGCCTGGTGGCAAGCGATGATGCGGTCTACGATACGATACGATACGATGTACTCAGTCTGTCTAAAGTAATATATTTATAGATCAGATATGGCTCAGATAAAGAAAAAACTAAATGTATACGAAATAATAACAGATCACTGTATTATACGGGATACAAAAAAAAAGTTTTGATGGGGCTAATTACTTATCATGGCTTAGGTGCGGTAAGATTGTCAGATTTTCACTACAAACTACCCCATGCCAAGTCCTGGATCGAGTTATGGTGCAGATTACCCTTGCAAGTCCAGTATTAAAAATACTTACCACTTTCTTGAAGAATTTCCACCTGGGTTCAGGAGCTCCTGACACGGTGGACATTAAAACAAAACAAGCGAACACAAACAAAAATATCTTTGTGAAATTCATTATTAATGTGAAATAAATTTACTATTAGTTATTATTGCAAAATAATATGTGTATTATTATTTTTGTATTTCGAACTCTGGTGATACGACACGAATGATGCTCTACCTGTAATAGTGAGTGTTTAAATACTTTCTTTCTTTCTAACGTATATGCACTATCTCCTTGTCATATTTTGAAGTATTTTGAACTTTATTTCATGTGTTAGTATAAGTCATATTACAGTGTAAGCGTATTCTAACTGTATAGTATGCGTATCGAATGCACATACTCAAGTACGGGGACTCCCTCAGTCCCAACTGGAAAAAGATACCATACACTGGGTTCAAGTTTTTTAATTCTAAATGCGGTTTAACGATTGATTAGTTTTATTTATTGATTTTCCTTTGTAGAAACGATTAAACGTTAGTAATTTAGAACCATTATTCGAATTTTAGTACTAGACTTCAAGTTAAGTTTAAAATCGCAACCAATTTAAAATAAAAGAGGTTAGGTATTATTACTTTTTATTTATACATTCGACGAAACTTTTTATTGCACAAAAAAGTATGCAAATATAATAGTAATGATTGTTTATAACGTTTGAAGTCACGACTACTCGAAATAACAATTATAATTGATTGAAACGTGACGTCATAGGACCTATATGAATTCAAAGTCAAATCGTTTATTATAAAACAATACCTACAGGTTTTTTGAGATCTATCACATACGAGTAATAGTATTACGCCTTTCAGTTTCCATATATCCCCAAGCGGTCATCGGTGACCGCTCGCCACTAACTACTTACATTATAGACCTTATTTCCAATGTTTAGAGACTACTTTTGTTTGAACAAATTTAGGGGATGAATGCATTAGGTGTACATAATATTTGGTACAAATGGTACTTTGCGTCCTGACATGGATAAGTTTAATGTACATTATCATCATACTCAACAGCCTATAATTGCCCACTGTTGACCATACTCTTTTCTCACATGGTGAAGGTCATCACATCACAATCACCACGCTTGCTCATTACAGGTTGGCGATTTTAAACTTATTTATAATTAGAAATTATAAGTCCAGGTTTCCTAACGAGGTTTTTCTTTACCGTTTGTCTAAATAATCTCAGAAAGTTTAATGTTATCTATATATATAAAAGAAAGTCGTGTTAGTTACACTATTTATAACTCAAGAACGGCTATATCGATTTGGATGAACATTGGTGAGGATGTAGCTTAGAACTAGGAGACGGACATAGGATACTTCTTACCCAATATTTATTTTTTACTTTTAACCGAAAATCAAGAACGGGTAGATACGGGAAATATCGGGATTGCGCGTACGAAGTCGCGGGCTGGAGCTATTATTCTTATAATATTGACAAGAATTTTAACGATTTGTACTTTTTGTTCTGACATGAAGTGAAATTATATTTAGTTTTTAATGTTAATATGAATTTGAATGCATAAGTACTTGTCATGTTGATATAATGATCTTTAGCAAATTAAATAATTGTTGTCATTAGTGTTACTGTTGTTATAAATAAATAAATGAATAGGTGTTAAATGGGACATCCATTTTTCCCTAGACCAGAAAATTAATCTATCTGCTCTAGTCAGTTTTGAAGCGCGTCATACCTATCATTTCTAATCCTAAAAGGCCTGTAACGCACTTGTAACGCGTCTGGTGTCACAGGTGTCCATGAGCGACGCCGATCCGTCTGCTCATTTACCGTCTAAGTATTAGCCATAAAAGAAAGATACAGAAATGGATGCAATAGATGTTACATCACCTTCCGTTGGGAAGGTGATGTAACATAGATAAAGAAGAGGGATGATTAAATGTTGATTTAGTAATCCCTCTTCTTTATCTATTTACCCCTCTAATTCTATTCACCAGTCGCGGAGAACCTAACGGGTAACCGGGGCTCCTGCTCGACGTGCAGGAGTAGGAACGGGGTGGTTTTTAGTCAGTAAGAGTCTGACACTCCCTCCTGCCTCACCCAGGCGGGAGCAGTCATTCGATGATTTTCCTCCCTTAAAAAAAAAAATCTATTCACCACGTTTTATTGTTATTTTGACTCTATGGTGATAGCATTGGCTGAGAAATTAGTTGCTGTGCAACATATAACAATTTCGATTAGATCGATAAATATTTTCTATAATGGATAGATAGACGAT